GAGAAAGAAGTCCAGCCAGATTACATATTCCAGTCTGGTGTTTTATTGCTAGATGGCACAATCCAGTTCTTTCTTGTGCATTAATGAATATGTAAAGTAAAACAAAGAAATTAACTACAAATGGTACTTTAGAACATGTCACAATCCTGGTAACAATTCTTTTGATGACTTCTGCTATGCATTACAAGTGCGTATACTGCAATGGACTGTCACACTGTGGTTCCTCCCATATGGAAACCCTCCACCCAGCATCCTCCTTACATAAACAGGACCATAAGGCACAGGGGCTGTTTGCCCTGGATCACGATTAATATACCAAAATCACCCAGTAGCTCAGTGCTCCCCAGTGCCCAGAGCTCCCATCTGATCAGCAGTTTATGATGCCTCACTCTTCACAGCCATAAGAAGACCTACAGCAAATGCCCCCATATTTTTTTGTTTGATTTGCACTGTCACTGTGAATTCACAAGAATGCATGGAAATGGACAGCCTTTTGCAGGTCACTGATTCATGTCATGGTGCTCTCTTGGCTTAGACTGGATTTCTCTAAGGTGGGACTGCACACACCCCTGCTCCACATAACTTATTGAATCATGGATTATTCTCTTATGCAGAAAGCCTCTCTCTTCTTCTGTGGTCTCTTTCAGTAAAAAAGCAACTTTTGTTAGGAGAGATTGCCTTGCTTGTTCTCCCCTGCCCAAGCTCTCTGCACATTCTCCAAAACTATATTTTAAAGGACTGTGTTAAAACAACTGGCCTTTTGTTCTATCTCAGGGGACGTTTCATTGTTGCAGACCCCAAGACTGTGTCAAGAAGCCAGAATGAATGGGATTTCAAAAGCTGCTCCCAACCTATTATGCTATGAAGCATCTTTTGAAAAGGAGCCAGCTTGTCACTCACTCTGTACTGTTAGCACCTTCTCCCTTCCCAGGGAATCTCAATCCAAAATGGAGATAAGATAACAATGGAGAAAGCAAATTAGCCCGATGTTCAAAATGGAGATGGTAGTCAGGTGTAGAAATACAGTGTACCTACAATTTCAAGGGTAATTTGTAGATTTTACAGAGCTCTCTGATAAAATCCAGCATCATTACTTACATGTATGTATTGCTGTTCCTTTAGCATAGTTTGATAAATATGGCAAACACACTGAAATACACTTTAGACTAAAATAAAATAAAATAAAAAACCCTCCTGTATGACTTTCCTCAGATACTCCCAATATAAAAATTTGTGTCTCTTTCTCTGTCACATAGCTCCTTCCTTTTTCTCCTCACCTCATTCTCTAAAAAGTAAATCATTCTCTAAAACGCCAAGTAAAATTTTAAAGCAATATTTTTTTCTGGAGTCATGTAATGTTTGGCTCTGTTCCAACTCTCATGCAGGAAATCTAGATAACATCTAAATAGCAATGACTTTTTCACTGAAGAGAAGCTACTGTGCAGATCTAATGCCTTCTCTCCCAAATGAAGTAATTGGTTTGACTGTAAATGACCAAAAGCTCTATTCTACTGAGTTACCCAATACACTAAAGTAAGGAAAAGCTTCTTCAGACTGCCTCCATGTGAGCCCCTAACTCATAAGCACTTATTTATCTTATATTCTAGTCAGCTCCAGCCCAGGTTTTTTTTGGTCAACCTTCTGAGTGGGCAGCAAAACCAGAAGTGACCACGAGGATGTGGCTGGACAGAGTGCTGACACGTGTGACAGCAGATCACACTGGGCTGACTGAAGCGGTGTCCTGCTGCGCTCCTGGAGGTTATCGCCTTCACTGGAGAGGTGCCTGAATGGGAAATGAATCTATTTGTGAACAGCTGCAGTTTACAACACAGTATTATACCGTAAATTTAAACCAATGTCAGGCTACATTAATATAGCAGATTACAAACAGTGGTGGAGGAACAAATGCACATCCTATTCAGCTATCACCACGGTGGTTGTACTGACTTCCCAAAGAAAGGCAGAATGTACCATGAGTAGAAACTGCTTCAGCCACGCTGGCTTAATTCAGTGTCCAATGTGTCAGCAAACATGAGACATAATGAACGAATAAGCCTGGTTTCCTTTGCGAATTGAGCTGGGACACAAGGAAAAATAAAAACTTGAAAGAAGAAAAAAAAATTTAGGAAACAGGCACAGATTACAATTGCATCAAGTTTTACAATATGAAATGAATGAGCAAGTATTCATCCCAGAGCCTACAAATGTTGTATCGTCACAGTCTTCACTGCTTAAGCAGAGGTGATCCAGAGATATGGAAACTACCAATTGGGCAAGGAGGACTGCAGCAGGGATCTAGCCCAGAGATCAGAGTGGCCTGCCTCCTGCCCTTCAAAGCCAGGCTGAGTCACAATCCGAGAAGATGGACAGAACTGCTTAAAACAGACACACTGATCTGTGTGACAGCCTTGGGCAGGGGGGAGGTGAAGGGCAGAAATCATGTTTGGCATCTCAAAGGTAACTAAGTCTAGACCCTTGGAAGCATCATATAGATGCAGCATCTATACATGTGACATATGGGTGCAATTTAAGCACCTTTAGTTGAGATGGAGAATTGCAGCTTTGGTAGGAGCAGTGGAAAGCACTCCCTATCCTGCCTCTCCTTAACCTGGCTTCTATGCCTCGCTCAGATTTATGATTCCCATGCTTGGACACAAGCCCCTGAAAGACAGGAGTAGCAAATTTGCTTTGCATGACCAGGGCTTAAATATCTGCTGTTAACCAAGGGTGAATAGTATCGCCAGATAAAACCTTTTGAAAGCACAATGTCAGTAAACCAAGCTTAAACACACTGACATACATGAAACATTTTCCTAGTGGCATATTTCATGGGCTCTAGCTTTACTAAACTTTTGAATTTATAGAAGCTTTGCCAATGCTTAAGTGTCACTAGAAATGCTAGATAATTAGGACTAAACACAAGAAAAAATAAAGACTTACAGTTGAAACTATCCATCAAATCTAAGTGCTTGCTTTACTTACGTTGTAGAACTGTATTTGCAACGATGCCAGAAAAGTATAACTAGACATGTTCAAAGAGCAAAGAACAAATAATAACTAGTTAAATGTTATGCAACAGCCTGAAAATACTACCATTAAGTTAAGAAAATGGGTTCTCCTAGAACATTAAAACTACCCATTAAATGAATAAACTAATAATTGGTACTCCTGAGCTGTGACACTTAATAACCTGTGCAGGAAAGCAGCAAATGAGATCTAGGGAAAATCACTGCAAGCAGAATTTAATTTGTACTGCAATAGTATCAGTCAACCACAGTCTAGAAAACCACAAAAAGATAGATAATAATGGTAAGATTCTTAAAACCATGAAGGGAAGGAAATCCTGAAACTACCTGACTAGGTTATGGTACTGCAGGACAATGCTCCCCAAGTACTGTATCATATCAACACACAGCCCCATGAGCTTAAAGTCAGTGCTTCTTCTTTAACCTTAATGCTCTTGCATAGTAAAAACAATTCCCAGCCACATGGAAAGAGAGAGGGGGGGTGTGGTCATCCAAACACCAGCCCTACTCTTTACTACTGCTCTTTTTCCCTCAGTTAATTCCCCTGATTTCACTGACACTGAGGTTGTATAAAATCAATTATTAAGTTCCAAATATGAATATATGCTTCAGTGAGGGACAGGTTGGAAAGAGCATGGACCAAATCCAGCTTGGGCAGAACTGCTAAGAAACCAGTGGTTTAAGAAGCACCTTCAGCATCTGATGGCCAGAGTGCCCTGATTGTATTTGCAGCACTTCAGAAAAGGAGAAACAGAACAGGGTGGTAGAGTTTACATTGGACCTCTCAAGTTTGCTCTGCTCAGAAGAGGTGAGAGCAGAACAGATGGGCACCTGCAGTTTTCACAGCCACAGAAGAGCACTGCAGCCTGTCTCCTTCCCTTGGACCTCAGGCACAGCCTGACTCTGGTCAGGCTGAAGGACTGATCAGCTGCAACCACAGGTTGTACAGTGGTAATGCTTAGTCTCCATGACATATTTTTCAGGCATTGCTATGCTGGCTAGGAACGAGAAAGACAAAACCAAACCAAACCCTGCCAACATTACTTTTCCAGCCAAACTTCCAGTGTTAAATAGTGACAGAAACATCTATTATTGACTCAGCTAACATCCTTCAGAGGAACAGTACAGCTATGCCAGGGATAACAGACTACTGGCACCAGTACCAAGTTTGGCACTGACCTTGACTGGGGCTGAGGCCAACTACAAGGAGTTACAACACCTTCTCAAATAAAATATGGCAAGAGATTCACCAAAGGTTCTCTGTGAGTGAGATATACTAGTAGGAAAAAGTCCTCAGGCAAGCGTATGATATATCACATAAAGTGTTCTTCAGTGAAATGACAATACCAAACCAGCTGTTGGAACAGAGAGACGGCATTGTTAAACCTAAACTGGGATGGGTGTGACACAGCTTAAGAAACAGGTTGTTGACTAAGCAAGGGGAAATGTCAGCTTGACAACAAGCTGATGGGAAGTGATTGTAGATTCTCTCCTTGTATCTATATCTGCATGTCAAAGTCACCGTAGTTTTGACAATGACCATCACTTTACAGGCCTGCTACAATATTTGTGTCATCACCTTCCATTGAGACATCGAATTAATGAATATTTATTTTTTGAATGATTCAGGGCAGCATGTTACACAGGCAGTAATAATGCTTGAATTAGCACCAGGTTGTGCCATCAATGGCTCTTAAGCTAATATTACTAGGACAAAACAAAAATCCCATTAAAAGGAGAGCATGTTTAGCACTGAGCACTAGAGAGGGGTATTTACATACTAAATCTTATTAATAAACACTCCAGTATAGTGAGAAAACAAATAGATATCAGCCTCATACATGTAGGTACTGAATCTAATACTGCTGAGCTGGTATGAGCTGTCATAATCGATGGGAATTGTTTACACAGACTCCATTCCTTCAGTTACACAAACAGATCCCGTGTAAACACTAGACTGAACACATCGGTGCATGGCCCCATTCCAGGCTACTCAGAAATGCAAGACAGTTCCACTCTCAATGACAGCATCATCCCATAGCCAGAGTTCACAAAGCAAGGATGAGGCAAACACTAATCTGAAATTCCTCACTCAGGATGTACATGGGACATCGGGTGAGTTGCTTTCACTCAGAAGGAATTTTTCCCACTCCTCTAAAGCCTACTTTTCTCCCACAGCTCTTTAGGATTTATGGCAGAAAGTAAAAAGTTGAGTGTTTTTAATTACTCCTACGGAAAAATCCTATAGGATTCAGTAACTGGGGTGGGGTTAGGTTGGATTTTTACCTGGGATGACAGAAAAGATTTCTGCAATGGAAAGTTAGAGGGTGATACAAAGCCTTACAGAAAGAATACTCCTTTTCATTAAATTTGAATAGAGTTGTGAGAAAAAGCTTCAGAGCCCTGCTGATTTCTGTGGGTTTTCTTACTCAAATTCACTATTTCTTTTTAGAGGAGAAAAACTTTTCTCCCAATATCGCCATCAAGAAGCTATATTTTTCTCATGTCTCATTAAATACCTTCTTCTAATCTCCCTGTTCTTTTTTTTAATATCAATGTAGTGTATACACCCAGTTATTTTATAAACTTTGCCAACACATGACATGATGATAGTGCTTGTAAAACTAAAGCCAATTTCATTATATTTTACCTCAGGATAGTTATCAGGGGAACACTGTCTGATTCAGAAGAAAGAAAACATGCTTTCTTCATGCATTAGAATGTTATTAGCTTATGATACCTAAATAAACTTTACTAGGATGAAAAAGTTTACTATACACATAAAATGGACCCATTGCTGAAGCTCCTAATATTTTTTTGACATTTAACAGCTGATGGGCAAGCATACTAAAAGGAAATTATGTGGTTGAAATGGAGTTTCATAGTTTATAGACAACTTTAAGATAAACATTCAAAGCAGACTCTGGATTTTGCACATGAAAATGCACCAGTTATCCATTTTGAGCCATATCCATATCAAATCTATGCAAGATAACGTCATCACATTTAAACCACATTAATACTACTAATCTGTTAATTTAGTTCATTTCTGAGTAACAATGGGACAAATCAATTTGACCTGGTATTTACCAAAGCTGTAGAGTGGTACCAAATAATTATCCTAGCATGGTGAAAGTTAGCCTGCCAAATAGAAATGTTAAAGTGTGACTGGGAGACAGGAAGGGTCAGAAGGGCTGCATATTTCTCAAGGATGAGTTTTCATGACACTGGCCTACAGTCCAGACCAAAGTTAACTCAATAAACTTGATTTGATAATTTTAAAAAAGTTAAGTTGAGAATTTGGAGAATTTTAAACCTCCTGAAAGTGAAGGCCAGTGAAGAATAGCTTCCTCCCACAGCTCTGTCAATTCTCCTTCAGAGCTGTAATATCCAGCCTGAGATTCTAAGTCTATGACCAAAGCAAAGCCTCTGTGCTGGGCTTTCCTATAAAAGGGCTCAAGTGAGAACAGACAAGCTCTTCACAAACTACAGCACGTCTGAAGGGAGCCTGCAAACTCTGCAAACAAATGTGTTAACCACCACCTCACTGGCTTCCACCATCCTTTCCCTATCACCCACTTTAAAGAGCTTTTTCATAATTTGTTGTCTGGAAGGCAAAACAGTTAATGCTAATGTATTCAGGAACAGTATGTGGGAAGTTCCTAGGATCAAGAATCCGTTTCTTGCCTTATCTGACAAAAGCATTTTGACTGTTTAATAACAACAACAACTACTACTACCAAAAATCCACATTTTAAATCTCTAGGAGAAGATATTTGTTTTAATTAGGAAGCTGTTGATTAATTTAACCCTGTCTAAGCACCATAGTCAGCTGCCATTAAGCTGAAAAATACCTAAGAGTAATTAACATGGCATCTTTTAAGAACTTCCTAAAAGCCTTTAAGAACTTGTTTTCATTGTTTTCCGTCATTATAACAGAAATGCATACTTTCTTCATCAAACAATTGGTATATCAGAGCAGTTACCTTGTATGGGAAAAGTATTCCTACCTCCTTTCTGGGATCCATCAAAATCTGCTTGAATTACTCTTTAGAGAACCTGATGTTGATCAACACACAGTACAACTCCTGAGGACGTGAGAAATTCATTGTACCTAGGCTTGTCTGTTTATAAAATTGGCAGGGCATTTTTAATTGCATTCTCACCTCATGCACTTGTCACTTCATTTTGGGAAATAAAATTTTTTCAAACCATGAATTACATAAACTTCATGAAAGATTTCTTAGAGTGTTAGCTGACTAGCTGTTAAACAAAGAATACTCTGGTTTCTTAGAGTACTTCATGATGTGCAATGGTAAAGAAATATATGCATCAATAGAACTTTTAAATTGTCATTATATTAGTGACTGTATCTCTTGAGGCTGGAACTATGAACAGCACCATTGTTTTCATATGTACAAGAAGTTGTATTTCAGCTGGCTGCTACATACAACTGGTTAAAACCGAGGTCCATCACTTTGAATACTTGCTTACTTCCCAAGGAGTCAATTAAGCCAATGGAACCATTCACAGAACAAGGACATTGGAATTCAGCCACTAAATCAGTCTGCTAACTGGTTAAATTGTGCTTACTTAGGAAATGGTTAGAAAACAATTCCAATTTATAGCATAAATTGAGCAAAAGCTTCACAGCCAGACAGAAATCTTGGACTGCTCCAGCAATTAGGGAAAGTTAAGCGACAGTTTTGCTCTAGTTTTTAAGGAGCTATGTTATGGCTGCAGTAGATACAAAATGGAGTGCTTCCCCCTATTTTTCCCCAATAGACAGAGTAGAAATTCTTCATTTAAAAAGATCTTTAATCTTGCAGAAATTAGAAGCATACCACCTTCAGCTTCTAATTCATTACTTATTTGTCACCTAAAAGGAACCCAAATTTCTTTTGAAGGAGAAAAGCTGGATATGCTTTTAATTTGCAAATAATAAAGACCTTTCTTGTACTTATTTAGAATAAAACCTAGCAGAAAATGTCTTTGAGAGCAGAGCAGTTCTGGAAACAGCTTGGCATTAGTGTAGTAGTAAGAAAAGGTGAGAGGAATGTGAACCAAACTACAGGTGGTAGGAGAAAAAACACTTAATGCTAAACACATCAAATGGGCCCACAAAGACCTCTGAGAACCATGTACTACAGATTTAAGGGGCCCCAATGTTTTCCACTGAGGTGTCTCAAATTTCACTACTATAAGAACTTGCCATTACATAATATAACCAGAGCCCAATATCACTGCACAGTGCATCCTGATGCTGAGTACATGTCACGCTCCAGACTTCACCAGAGAAACAATGGCATTTGAAACCAATACTCAAGGGCATTCTTAAGCTTTTTAGCTATCATGAGTTACAAGACCTTAAGTGGTTCTTCAGTTTCCTTTCCAGGGCAGTAACATTCCCCAAAGGCTTCTGGCATTGCATGGGAAAGAGTGTGCAGGCCTTTCTGGCCAGTGTTCAGCACTGCGAGGAGGACAGCAGGACACACGCAGATTCTGGAATGGGAGGCACCTGGGGAGGTGCCCAACCCACCTGGGAACAAATTAGTTATTTGACTCCCTGTGAAATTTCAAAGGTGCAGGAAGATTCCAAGCAGTTTCATGCAAGGTAAAAGCTTTCAGAGAGAAAAAGAGACCTGTGACAAAGAATACATGTACACACTGCTACATGTGACTAGAAATACATGCTCCCATTGGAAGTCCCAAAAATAGAAAAATACTTAGAAAAGTTGCAATATTTAGGACCTAGAGATCACTGCCCAGCCTCAAAATATCCCATGGACAATAAGCATCTATCATCAAACTGTCAGCTCAAAACACTGTGGATTATGTGGTTGTGGGTCACCAGTTGTGGATGAGAACAGCTGGGGAACTTGGATCAAGCTGCCTTCACTGTATTCAAATATTGCAGTAACAGGCTATTTTCTTTGCAGATATCATACAGACGAATACAAAGCCACATTCCTCAAAGTTACCTCCAGCCTTGTGTGAAGGATAGTTGCGCTGTATGAGAAGTACATCAGAAACTGTTCTGGAGTCACTATTCAACCAAGACACCAAGTTATGGCATCCATAGACTGGCAGATGATAGCAAAAGGGAAGGAAGGGTATGTAACAGAGAGGTTCAAGGGTGATGGCCTGCACAAAGGTCAACAATACAGAAGCCTTTCCAGGGAATTAAATACTTTCCCATCTTCCTTCCATCCCTCTTCATCATTAGTTGTTTGTAAGGGTAGCTTATCACGGAGCCTTTTTACATAAATATCATTACCAAGTTAAATCAAAACAGGATGGTAATGGAAATTTGTGGAATCCTTGTAAATGCAGTATGACAGCTTACATTTTATGACATAAACCAATTAAAACATGCTCATTTTGTTTCTAGAACTGCATTTGAACTCTATGAAATAAAATATTTCATGGATGTCAACAGGGAGAGAATTGGAAACAATCTGTCACATGGCCAACCTAGAGAAATCTCATGTGTCCACCAACACAGGTAAACTCAGGCATACACACAGTGGGGTGAGGTGCCACGCTACAGTTTTGTTCTCTCATGAGAACAGTAGATGGTCTGACAGCAGTAGATGGTCTGACAAAAGTGTGAAAAGTCAGAGACTAAAGACGTGCTGCATTTTCACAGGAAAGCTAAGACTTGCCCAGCCATTTGAGGTCTTTCAAGAAAAGCCCACCAAAACGGAACAGGCCATTCTAAACCTTCTGTTTGTTTGTGACTCTGGAGAGCAATGTCTCCTCGAATCTTGGTTCTGTACACTATATCTCAGTAAGGAGGCTCCCAAGAGAACATCACTTCAAGCATCCAAAACAAGATCCCTTTATACATGGCAAAGTAAAAGCATGAAAGACCTGAAAAACACCATTAGCTTTTTAATTAGTCCTGTTTTTCAAAAACCTGATTTGTATCTCATATCATATTTAGGCAATAATTTGTTGGCCACAGATGTTGCTCTAAAAGTGGAAGCAGAAGTTCTTTTTATTGGGGATTTTTTAATAAGAAAGACTCATATCTAAAACATAGTAAGGTAAAAAATGTTATTAAATATACAAGTGTATATTTAATATATTATATATATGTAGTACTATTACTACACGGTAGTCATTTTTTGTTGCTTCCTAATGCCATAACCATCTGGTAAAGACCCCAATTTTGTACACAATCTCAGTTTCTCCATATGGTTTAAATGTAAGGCAAAAGGTCAAAACACAACCTGAAATATTTAAAGTGGTCAATGACAGTCATACTGTCAATGAATTATCTCAAGTTTACTGTTAAATATGGATAGCCTTTGAGGTAACCTCCAGTACATGTCATGGCTTTCTAATGAGTTATTAAGTTATTAAGCTATGAAATATTTCTGAATTTTAAGCAAGACAAAGGAGTAAAACCCAAGTAAAACAAATTAAAAGGATAATAATTATGCAACATCTTGAGATGTACCAGGCAGTCACACTATGCATATATAAAAAAATACATTAATAAACTGAACATATTAATAAAAAGCTAAGAATGGCCCTTCAAGACCTCAACACTAATTGGAAAGGATTTAGACAGCACATCTTGAATAACTTCCATTAACAGTTTTGGTAAGTCACTGTTCAACTATCTAAAACTGGAATAATTTAAACTGCACAGTTCATCTATTGTATTATCATTTGTGAAAGATCAGTGAAACATCATTAGACAGTTTGAGTAATGAAGCAATTGTCTAATTGCCCCAACTTGAATCTTATTTCTGATGAACTTAAATGATTAACCATGAACTGGTTTCTACATTTGAAGCCCCACAGTTCAATTAAAGGCCAATGATTATCATCATCCCTGAGATAATTCACTTTGAACTCTGAAGAATTCTTTCAAAAAGGGTGACACTTAAGCAGATTTTATTTTTAACAAAGAGGCAAGCTTCAGACCCAAGAGGCAGCTGTTATGCCACCGTACCCAGAAGCACAGGAAGCCCATGCAACCCTTCAGCAACTTTGTGATCTGCTGTGGCACCATCCTGCAGAACAAGGAGATTATTGCACCAGAAACAACTACCGGGCCTCCCATTTAGCAGCCAACAATTTGCTCCTGGATCTTTCAAGTAATGGTCACTTATACAAAGTCTTTTTATAAGGGCGTGAGTACATACATGCACACCTCCAGCCCACTTACCAGGAAGCCAGACAGAAGGACTTGTTGGACAAAAATCCCTGCTGAGCTGGGAGACAGAGTCCTGAGCCACAGCCTGACAGTAATTCCCAGGGATGTCTCATGTCAGGGTTTATCCAAACAACTGTGTGAGGATCAGGCCCAAGCCACAGTAACAGTTACCTTGAAGCCTATGACATGAACTCATTTAACTGGTCCCAGGCTGTACTTCATGGTCTAGATGAATTTCTATATCTTGCAAAATATGATACCCTCAAATATGTTTTTGGAAATGAGTATCTTCCAAGTTCAGCTGCTTGCTTGCATCTGTAGCTACTGGAACTTAACCCACTCATACAAAACATCCAGACCATGAGTTGACACAGTTAGTAATATTTAACATCATTCTTCTGACAAACTTCTGGATGCTCATTTCAAAGCTGCAATGCCTTCTTCTTTGTAAAAATCTGATAAGAAACAGCAGTCTCAGAATGACTGAATATCTGAGAACACTTCATGTCATTTCAGAAAATGCAGGTAAGCACTGTCACAGGGACACAGAGACAGGACAGAGCATTTCCCAGTGAGCACTTGGTAGAGTGAAAGTTCCCACACATGGGAGAGTTAGAGTGGAAGAGTGTTGCACCTTTGGTACTGTCACACTGTGGCATTGCACAGGGTCAGGAGTTTGTCATGGGGCACATTCAGAGCTTTTTTTATTGTTCATAAGTAACAGTCCTGTCATGCCAATAGCAGAAGTCCCCCTTGATTTAATGAAATCTACATTAAGGTACAGTATCACAATTTAGCTCTTGCCTTTAACCCCACTCCAGCACAAAGTGTATTACAAATCTGCAACAGGAATCACTTCATCCAACATAGATATGCAGAAGTCTCAAGGGTGGAAAGTGGCAGCTGTTCAACACATTCACTCATAGAAATGTTACTCACCATCAGTATTTGTTTTGCTATTGTTACACAGTTATGTTAGCAGTGAAAAAGTCTGAAATATTTGTTTGCTTTTCAGAAACTATCCCATAATGGCATTTTTTTCCTGCACATAATGTTTTCTGAACTGCAGATTAATGAGTAAAACAAGTGGTTAAAGATATCTTTTAAATATCATTCCTTTCTCATTTTATAGCTCAAGAGCCATGTGTCTCTCTTTAACATGTGATTTGCAATGTAATACTCCATGAGCTTCTATATCTGCCTTGTATAATAGTTTCAAATAAAATTTGGCTCTCTGTATATCTCAGCCTTGGGAACAGGACTGTTAAAATCCTAAAGGCCAAATACCAATATCCCTATAGGATTCTCATGCACATCTGCATTTCTGGAAAGATGATATTTTTAAGGGAAAAGCTTTCAATTAAACATTCCCCCAGAAACCATTGTTTTGCCCAGCTCTTTCTTGTTGCTTGCCTGGTAATGGAAACACCACAGGGTAAACCTTCACCATACAACAATTTCATCTGGTAGGTGCCCTAAGAATACATATTTGTAATAAGCTTTATTTTTGCTTAAATCCCCTTTAGATTTCTACAGTTGAGGTATAGCTGCCCCAAGAGAGTTTCTGTTCTAGCGAGAGGATTCATATCCCCACCCCAGGCTTGATCTTACCCTGTCATTTGCAGGCAGAAAGTTGCAAACAACCCACTTGAATTGTGAATGAAGCTGCAAATGCCAAAATTTAGAGTGTCTCACATTTTTGCTTTCAGCCGAAATACCTAAGGCACTGGGTTGTAGACACTGCAGATTCAGATGTAAAAGTGTGCCCATTTTAACCTCATGTTTATAGTTCATCACCCCAAGTTTCTTGAAAGTTGCAATTTCCTTTTTGAGAAGGAAATTTCTCTGTTTTCATTTTGGCCAGGTGATCTTCTACTTGCTTAGGGGTTTTTTTGTTTGTTTGGAGTGTTTTTATATTTGAAGAAATGCAGTTCAGCTATTGTAATAAGCAAAACATTAAACACACATATTTCCTTTAAATATACTATGACTTTTTTTGGTTGATTTTTTGAAGCTGGAATGACAAAGGAGTTAACAGCTAAAATCCAGAATGAAAACTGAGAATTCTTATGGAGAATAAGGAGCTGGGCTTGTCTTGGAGACAAAATATTCTGGTTTCAACAAGACACATGAGCCCAAGCAAACTGAACACTGACTGACCACATGCAGCAGATTTTTTTGTTTGTGTTTTTGCTGAACTAAGAAAGGATGCACCCAAGGGAGAGATTAACAAACTGAGGCTACTCAGTTCACAATGTTTGTTGTCCAAGTCACAGAGCAACAAAGAAAAAATGCCAGAAAGTCCAAATATTCTAAAATCCTATTGATTTCAACTTGCTGATGCTTCTAAAGCCTAGAAAAAGATAACCTGTGAGGCTGAAAGACCAGAAACACTGAAAATACAGTATTTCTGTATTCTGATGTGTGTGCCTATTACTAAACACCAACCTTCTGCAACATTTCTTTTTCCTTCTTTTTTTTATAAAACTATGAAGACCATAACCTTAGAAAACAAAAACGTTCTAATACTTGACATGCTTAGTTTTCTTACAGTACCAGACTCACAGAAACTATGCTTTTTAACAGGTCCTAATCTAGTGCTTAGGGGTGGGGTTTTGCCCCCAAGATCAAGATTACTGTCTGTGGTCTGTGATGTCAGCAATTAGCACAACAGATCATTGTTCTGCTCCAGTGAGATGCTATGCCAGTACATATTACTGAGTCCTACACTGGACATAAAAAACAACAAAACCAAAACCAACAAACTGAAGAGTGGGATTTCCAAAAGCATTCAGGACTGGCCGAATTTTACAGCCAAGGAAGTCAAAGGTAATTTAAAGCAAAAATAACAAAAACCAAATCCAAATAACTGTAACATTCGCTTGTACCATATCTTAACAACAAAGTATTAGCCTGAACAAAAAATCTAGCAACCAAGGTTCAAAGTTGTTATTTGCTTATAGTAGTCTGTTGGCATGAGACACCAGCGGAAGATAAGCAGAGTACTGATCACTGAGGGCAGACTACACAACATCCCCAAGTGTCACCTCCATAACAGCATTGAGAACAGTATCGTTTTTGCTCTCCTAGTGAGGGCAGTCTGGAGGGATCACACAATAGCTGAAACGTTCTTGTGACATGAAACTGGGGCCTGGAATGAGTATTTAACTCTTCTGATCTCATGTATTGAAATTGGCTGATGCAATGTGCTTCAGTATTAGGAAAAGGGACCTCTTTCTCATCCTAATGTGTGAATAAAATAGAAGGAAAGTTCACGTGAAAGGCCTGTGGCATCAGACGTAAGACTACATAGTCCCATGAGGTCATGACTGCATCTCCTCCGTAATCCCAGTATATTCAAGAAAGGAATTGTTACAGAAATCTGCAAAACCTAGTTATGAAGATTATGTTATACCTAGAAGAATGTTTCACTATAAACCATTGTGTAATAAATCAGAAAATAAATCCAAATACAATGTCATTTTTCAGCTTTTAGACTGCTGCAAAGCACACAGGTTTTTTCACTGGAGTAATACTTAAGAATTGTAAAGAAATGCAAAAGCTGGAGTCCGGTGTAACTCTGTTTGCAATACTCCTAAGCATGGGGAGTAAATGAAATGCAGATCTGTAAATTCAAGATCATTACTACGCTACTAAGGCACTCAAATCACCTTCAGATGTTGCTGCTGTTAAAACTAACAATAACAGGAGCACAGTTGCTAATGTTAGGACAGCAGACTCGGAAGTCTAGTCTATCAAAAAGGTTTGCCACTACAAAAGTATAACTACTTTGGCATGAGTTTCTACTGGAGTTGCAACTTACCAGCTGAAAAAAAAGTACTTTTATTGTTAAAGCTTATGCCCTCCTCAAGTAAAATAGAATATGCTGGCCAAAGCTATTTTTTTTTTCCTGGTACAACCATGTCTACACTAGAGCTTTTGCCACTACACACATACAGCCAAAAATCACACCTCCAACTGACATTACGATACTGGCAAGTGCTTCTAGTACTGGCCTTAAAGCAATTATTTGTTCAATCATTGCTTTCTACAGTCATCCCTTGCCCTAAAAATACTGTATTTCTTTACAGGTGGAAAACTGGAAAAAAACCCAATCTATCGCCTTAGGTCTTGTTCAGCTGTTTCTTATATCAGGACAGGATTTTTCTTTTGCCTTCACAAAAGTTGAGTTCCCCCTCCCCTTACAAAAGTAGAATAAAACATTCGGGGGGGGAACGTGAATCTTTAACCCCACAGCGGAACAAACAAACAGAAGTTCAGGTCAGCCCTTGCTCATCTTGCAACAGGGGCAGAGAGACAGAGAAAGAACAGAATTCTTTCAATCCTAATGACTACTTGTTGCCATTCTCTACATACCAAAGTGAATACAGCCCATCAGCTTTGAAAGTGCTATTTCTGTTCCTATTGCTGCATCTGCTAAAGCAGATTCTTCCATAAGCAAAATGTCAAACAATTTTCACTCTCAAAGCTCACACAGAAAGTCATACTTTTAAGGGGACATAATCAGTACAAAACCAGGGGGAGAGGGGACAGAAGAAGGAAGAAATAAATGCTATTTCACAAAACCTCAGTCTGCCCTCCATGAGAAGATGATTTTCATGTGACTTGTCTTGGTTTGAGATTATAAAAACAACCATATATTTTGAAGCACATTTGTTTTCAATAGTTGCAATATTTTTTTACAAAAAAGATTATCAAAACAATGGCTTTCAACATTGTATAGGAAAATGGAGCCTAAAGTGTTTCATTTTACTTCTAAAGCAGCAGTACAGTACTTTCTTAATATCTACCTCTCCAAGCCATTTCCTGTGGTTTGTACTAAAATTTACCCTCCTCAGCCTAAATGGTAGTGTCAACCACGTGTGAAGAATCAACTTGCTTTTGGACTGAAA